GTTTATTCCACTGAGCCATCTCCCCGGCCCCAAAAGATTGATTTTTAAAAATGAAAGTAGACCAAGGACAGTAGGAAGCTCTAAAAACCATTCCGGTCATACAGATAGAATCAGGGACATGATGGTGAACCCATGGCACACATACAGCATCTGCTGTTTATCACTGAAAACTAAAAAGTTTCACTGTAGTTGATCCAGAGGATTGCTGGTCTTTTTTGCCCTCTGGATGTTCAAACAGAGATTACCTGGCCACTTAGTGCTTGAAAAGAACAGGTGAATATGAGATGGCACAGGAACAGGAGGTAGCACATCTGTGAGATGGGCTGGACCATTTTAAGTGTAGCAAGTTCTCCCACCTAGTAGCTTGTTCATCACGTAAGCTACTTCTTACAGTAAGTGTGGTACCTGTTGATTTTAGCATTGGCAAATTTGTGTCACTTTCCCATGCCCAGGAGGTCCCCCTGGCAGACTTCGCCTAGAGAGTCCCTTTGTCCTGCCTGTGTTGCCACATTTGTCTTCCCAGAGTGTTGCCTTAACCCCGACAGCCTTTCATAAACTCGAATAACCTGCTTAAGTCTCTGAAGTGATAGCCTTGTCCTGGATCATGATTCTGTACCCCAGTCCTTGTATCTTAAATGTTCCTGAGTGCTCTCTCCTTCCTTTTTAAGCTCTTGCAGGCCCTGGCAGGAGGCACTGCTGCTGCCTTTGGTCCTCAGTCCCTGTCATTAGCCTTCCAGAGTGAACACTGGGAGAGTTGCAACTGTATCCACACTCCTGACTTTCATGGTACCTTTGCATTCTGACTATTAGGAAGATAGATACAGGCAAGGAAACAGTTTGAAGCTATCTCAGAGTTTGTCACCATCAGCAGCTCTGTACATGCTGACCCAGCAGAGAAAGGGCTCTGGGGTCAGGCCAGCTGTTTCCAGTCTAGAATCCTCCACATTCCAGTTGTTTGACCTTAGACATGTCCCCTGGTGGGGTTTTCGTCTGTTTGTTTTTTGGGGTTGATTTGGTTTTATGCATGTTTTTAATTTGAAAAACTGGGTGAGCACACATCTACCCTGGCGGTGTTATGAAGCTAATTTTATAAAGTGCTTAGCACAGTCCTTGGTGCACACAGTAAGTGCCAACAGCTGTTATGGGTCTTATTGCCTCTTTTTCTGTTATGTCAGTATTTGCATTTCCTGACCTTCCTGTCCCACTGCTTAAGTTTCCCTCTTTGTGTAGCCCTGTCCTCTGCTAGTACTATTGACCCTACTGATAACTAATACTTCTCTTCCAGATGTCCAACATCACAGTCACATACAGAGATGGTCGAGTGGCACAGCTAGAGCAGGTATACATCCGTGGCAGCAAGATCCGCTTTCTGATTTTGCCTGACATGCTGAAAAATGCGCCCATGTTAAAGAGCATGAAAAATAAAAACCAGGGCTCAGGAGCTGGCCGAGGAAAAGCTGCTATTCTGAAGGCTCAAGGTAGGTGCTTCTGTTTTGATTTTTAAAATCAGGTTTATCTTGTATTTTTAGGAAAAGGCCTGTTATAGCCCAAGGACAGAAGTGGACTTGACTTCAGACTCTCCACACCTCGTGTCATCCATTTTCTCCACATCCTGGGACATCCTCTGAGGCATTGGGGGCCTTATCCTGCTGTCTTCCATCTCATTTGATCCCAAGCATAGGGCTTGTACAAAATTCAAAGTAGCTTCTCTATAAAGGTGGATTCCCTGTCCTGAATGAAAGACTTAATAATCTATAATGAATTTCTGGAAAGTTCTTCTTTTCTAGAAGTTTTGTTCAAGATGCTTGGGGTAGCTTGTTCATACCTAGTTTGCTGAGCACACACAGCAGGGTGTGGATTAGCTGACTCCTGAAGCAGTAGGGCTGCATTCCTAGGGAGACTTGGTGGTGTGTTTTGATACCCAGCCTGTACTTGGGGAGATGCTGACAGAGGAAATCCTTTTCCAGATATAAATAAACAGGCTCGAGCCATCTTTGCTCACTAATGGGAACTGTACTTATAGTATCAAGGATTCTTATATTTGAAAATAAATTCCTTATTTAGTACACTTTCTGAGACCAGACTGTCCCTAGTAACTCAGTCTGGCTGTTCTTGTTAAGGGTTAGTCCAGGCAGGTTTTATTTACTTGGGTCCCTGAGATATTCTGCCACATTATTGGATAAGAAAGCAATAGTAGTCCTTAGAAACTTCCTTTGTGTCAGGGATAAGATTGGGCAGGAAAGCCAGATGTCGTGACAGGCACATGTGTGTCATCTCAGCTCTCAGGAATTGTCTCATGAGTTTAAGCATAGCCTGGGCTACATAGGAAGGCCTTAGATTCTTCGTTGGTATCTTCAGCCACATATTTTTACATGTGAGGTTTTTTAATTAAAAAATGTAAAAAAAAAAAAAAAAAATGTAGTAATATGATTCTTTAAAATGCCCCAGTGCAGCCTTCCCTGTCGTAGTGAATTTGCAACATCTTCTCTAGCCAGGGGGGACCCAGGTAGCTGTGCATTGAAAACTGTGGCAGTGAGTTTGCCAGACCCAGTGAGATCTTGAGCCATTTGTGCCTCTCAGCCCTTCTACCCTTTCAGCAGGTGGGGAGTTCTTGCAGGATTCTCTCCCTCTTCAGCATGGTTCCAGGCACTACAAGAGCATGGAAGGACAAGATGCCAGTTAGTAACCACCAGAATATTTTCATCTGCCCTTCAAGGGCTCTTGTCCCTTCCTTTGGGTCACAGAGAACAAAAGTTTTCTTAGTACACTTTGTATAGGAAGTGTTATTTTGTTTTTCTGTTATGAAACACTGTTTTCATGCAGAGAAATTCAAACATTGATTAAAAACTCTTGCCCAGGATTAACAGTTAGCAGATGTTAATGTTCAATTGTATTTGTTTAAGAATCTTAAAAGTGAATTATATTTATTTGTAAATGTTTTATTAGCTTACCCTGGCCAGCCCTAGAAATTCATCCTCTCTGTGGTTGTCAGACAGCTTTTGTTCTCTTTGCTGCTTCCCAGCCACTTGAGAGAACAGTGGGGCCCACTGCTGTAATGCCAGGCGTCAGTGCCAGGCCCACCCTTCCCGGGCCTCCATCCTCACTGGGAAGTATGATGGGCCAGGATCATGGTGGGCCCCGGAGCCTTTCAGGTCTCTCTCAGCTGGTGTCCCCGAGCTCCAGCTGCTGTACGTGAGCATTCACTGACTACTGACCTGTGTCCATCCTTTCTCCTTTTCAGTGGCTGCAAGAGGAAGAGGACGTGGAATGGGACGTGGAAACATCTTCCAGAAACGAAGATAACTTTTATGTTGAACAGAACTGTGCTTACATTTTTTATTCAGGGTATCTTGAGTTCATGGGGGCGGGCACTTGTGTGTATATCTTAGATTTGCTTTGACATCTTTCTCTCTAGATCCTAGGAAATGTTAAACTAAATAAATCTGGTTGTTCTGGTTTGGTTTTTGGTTGTGTTTTTTGTTATTTGTTTGTTTGTTTTAAGAAAATGAGGGCTGTGTGTTCATCTTGGAGTTTTCTTTGGCAGCAGAAGCCAAGGAATTTTGAAGCCCTTGGAAGGATTCCAGGACTTTGATGTAGCACAGATATTGATACACAGTGTAAGCTGCTGTTCTGAGACATTCGCTGGTTGAGCCCAGAAAAGCCCACCCTAGAGAAGCTCTGAAGGTTCATACAGGTCTCGTTCATCCTCAGGAACAGGCAGGCACACAGTGCACACTTTGTTCAGTTGAACCTTTTTGGGAATGTCATGAGCTCATCTTCAGCAGCACGGCTCATTCGTGCTGGCCCGTGAAACAGTCCATTGTTCTGTAGATGTCATGCTCGTGATTTTGCATTTGGGGAAAACAACCAATACTAAACAGTAATTCAGAGGATACTAGTTCCCCACACCTGTGGCTTATATCCTGGCCATACAAGCAGATTTGTGGTCACTTGGGGAACAGATTTTGTCTGTCAGAGCTCCTTGGCATTAATTGGCACATTAATTTTTAATACAGAAAAGAATTAGAGGATAATTTGCATTGGAGCAAAAATTTTAGCAGTGAAGAAGTTGGAAAAACAAAATGAAAACACTGAAATCATGTCAGGGATTCAATAAAGGGTAACCTACGGCATAGACCCTCAAGGCAGAATAGGATCCATTATTGACCCTTAGAATGTTTAATGGGCTGAGCGTGGTAACATGCCTGTAATCCAGCACTGGGGGCGCTGAGGCAGGAGGATCACTGAGTTCGAGGCCAGCCTGAACTGAATAGTGAGTTCAAGTCCACCTTGAACTACTTAGCCAGACCCTGTTGGAGAAAAAAAAATGTTGCTCAGTGAACAGATTGTTCAAATAATGGAATGGGAAGAAGCAAACGTATCAGTTAATGGCATTAAATAGTGTTCTGATTAGCATCTTGTATAAAGAACTTTTTTAAGGGTGAAGTTTCATAAGTTGATCAGATAATTCCTCCCCCCCCCCCAGGCATTTTCTGCTTATTATAACAAACAACCAATACCTGCCTCAGCTTCCCAAGTGCTGAGGTTACAAGTGCGTGCCACCACAGCCAGATCTGTAGAGATCCGGGTAAGAATAGGGTGCACTCCTCTGAGGACCTGATGGGTCCAATGACAGGTGCATGTAATTGTGATGGCTATCTGTGAATTCCATAAAGAGCACCCAGTTCACATTTCCAACAGTGTGTTAAGCATTGCTACTTCCATCCTTACCAGCATTATACATTGTCACTCTGTCCATCCAAAGGATGAAAAATATAACCTTGTTTTAATTTGCATTTCTAGTGAGGTTGAGTGTCTTGTCATACAATTAACCTATAGGTTTCTTAGGAACTTTTTCCTACCCTTTGTCTACAAAACAGGCATTTTTAAAATGAGGCTTCAGAGACTGTCTCCCTAGAGCAGCCCTGTTTTTCTTGCTCCCATTCCCTGACCCCTTTGACACACTTGGACACTATGACTGGTGGCCTCTGCAGGCTGTGCTGCCCCCTGGATGTGCTCTGGGACTGGTGGTCATTTTAAATGAACTTACTGTGAATGGAATTGAATAATTTGTGTTTATTTGGCTGATAGTTTAGTTGTAGTTAATGTTTCTGGCAAGAAAGGAACCTTGTGCAGTGAATGACATGCACAGTAAATTCCTTTGAAGTGTTTATAAGTGGAATTCTTTCAGGCACAAGCTGTGCTACCCAATAGTACCGTGCTTGGATTACTTTGTCTCTGCTGCCAGTGACCTTCATTTGCAGGCATTGATTTACTGACTTCTGTTAATGCAGCCCACTTGACCATTAATACACTGAGAACCCTGGTTTTCATTGCCTACTAGGTAAGCATCCTGTTAAAAATAAAGGTTCCAAGGTAGGTCCCAGGATCTGCATTTTAAGCAGTACTCCTAAGTAATTCTTTTTTTTTTTTTTTTTTTCATAAGTAAATGTTCTGGTCTTTATTTTATTTATTTTTTTGGTGGAACTGGGGATTGAACTCAGACCTTTGTGCTTACCAGGGAAGCACTTACTCTACTGAGCCATCTCCCTGGCTTTTTAAAACTTTTAATAGATTGCAAATTGAAAATAAATTATTTATAAACATAAAGGAGTATAACAATAAAAATGTCCAAAATAAAAATGAAGAAAGAATTTACAGATCATTCATAATGGTTCACTGTGTCAAAACCAAGAAACTTATATTCATATAATTAGAATTCTCAAAGTAGAAAGGAGTAGGCAATAAATATTTAAAGATTTAAAATTTCTGAATTTCAGCTTATAATACCACATTTCCAAGAAAAATGAACCTTTTACAAAGACAT